TGCTTATTTGCGCAGTTTGATGGGAAATGCGCAATATGATTTTGTTATAGTTTTGTTTGCACATATTCCAACATTCTCGATTAAAAACTATGCATATTTATCAATAAATTGCTGTTCAAACTTTCAGATTGATATCGATTTTGGCCTGAAATATTGCACCTCCAAGGATGGAATTAAAGTTTGGGATGAGCTATTAATACACATAACAGATTACTTGACACACCACGTAAATGATGAATTTTCGATAATAATTTTGCATGAACTAACGAATTCCGAGTTGAGCGAAGGTAACCATTTCTATAGTTTAATTGAGCGTTAGTGATACCTATTCTTGAAATATTTCAGATTCTCGTTTGTGTGCTGTTTTAATATTGTTAAACTGTGTTTTACCACCACGCAGAGTTACTGCAGGGTATAAACCTACAGTGTCATCAGCTCAAGAAGAAATCATTCTCTTCGCCCACACGAAACAGGCAGCAAAACTAAAACTACAGGATCTATACGCACGATATAAGGACCTCGGATTACAGCCCGCACCCAAATTGATAGCAGTTGGTGCTAACTACAAGGACTTGCAGGGTTCGTTCATCGTTTGTTACAGTGACCTGTGTTACAAACTACCTTCTTTGAAGCGTGCTGTAGACGTATTCATCAAGCTGGCACTTATCCTCGGACTGCAACACTCCAAAATATCAAAATTAGTTTGGATGTTCGTCGTCAAATGTGTTTACGGAATATACGTTCCCGAAAAGTACTCTAAGATTGAGAAGCTGGTGCTTCACCTCAATAACGTTCAACATGTCTAACCGTATTGCTTGCTTTGTAGAAAGATGTACAGCTACATTCGAATCAGCGGAGACCTATATATCACACTTTAATGATATGCATAAGCTACCCAACAATCACAGGTGTATTTGCACAGTACAAAACTGTAGACAAATCTTTCAAAAGTACTATTCTTTTAAAAGGCACATACTGAACCATACGATTATTCTACCCCAACCACCCAGAGAAAACGTGCAGAAGATACAATTTCCGAACTGCAGAAGACATCTACGGACACAGTTCTAAGCAACTCGCCGAAACGCATCAGCCAGATAACTTAATCATAAAATCTTTGTCTAAAATTGATAAAACTGTTGTCGAATTCAGTTTAAGTTTGCATAAGCGTCCAAACCTAACCAGAAACGATGTAAATGAAATTCAAATTGGAGCACAAAACTTGTCACTCAGATAGCTAAGCAGATAGAAGAGCTAGGCTTGATTTCACCGATTCCTGATGCGAATTATCAATTTCACCATTATTTGCAAAAACTCAAACATACTTTTGATAGTGTTGATTCGGATTTCAAGCTTTTCAAACACCTGGAAAATCTAAATGTTTTTCGAAAACCACAGATTCACAGACCACATATTCGTAGAGAAAGAAACCAGTGCATTGTCAGAAATAACAGAAGAAAATTCTATCAAATCTAGCTGTTTGATTATCATGCCAATAGCATTTCAGATTAAAACTTTTTTCGAAATAGATAACGTTTTAGAGAAAACATAAAGCATATTGAAGAACTGGAAAAGACGGATCGTATTAAAAATCTTATCAATGGTAGCGTATGGAAATCCATACGAGAGAAGTATGGAACAGAACTGCTAATACCGATTTCTTTTTACGCTGATGAATCCGAGGTGAATGATACACTTAGTTCACATAATAAGCGTCATTCCGTATGCGGACTTTACTTCAGCTTTCCGGTCATACCAAAGGAGTTCTCTTCAAAACTTCGTAACATATTCATTGCAGGAATGGTCAAAAAAGTTGACATTAACAAAGTTGGAATTAATACACTCATGCAAAAATTAATCGACACATTTAAAGAAATAGAGGAAAATGGGATAGTTATAAATTCTAACGGCAAACAAGTAACTATTAAATTTATCCTTTCATTGTTCTTAGGCGACAATTTGGGTGTCCATTCTTACCTCCTTTTTTCTGGGAGTTTTAGTGCCACATACTATTGCAGGTTCTGCAAACGATCAAAGCATGAATTACAGAAAGATGTATGTTTGCATACAGATTATTTGCGAAATGAGGAATACTATAAAAACGATACGCAATTAGACAATCAAGCCCTTACTGGTATAAAAGGAATATTTATTTTTGACCAGCTCCCGTCATTCAATGTAGTTAAAAATATCAGCGTAGATCCGATGCACGATCTCTTTAGTACTGGGGCCTGCAAATATGGACTAACGGAGGTACTAAACTATTGTATTTTTAAAATGAATTTCGCATCGCTAAACGAAGTGAACACACGAAGAAGGATGATCAGTGTAGCTGATAATGATGAAGCTTTGTCCAGAATGCCAGATTTAAAGGTATCATACATAAAGGCAAAACAAACGAAATCTGTTAACATCCGGACAACCGCGAGCGAAATGAAGTCATTTTGTTTTTTTATAACATTCATATTGGGTCCTTTTTTTCCTGAAAACGATCCTGTGTGGGAATTCTGTAAAACGTTAGTTAAACTGGTAGATTTTGCACTTCTTCCTTCATTTAGTGAGACAGATATAGAACAGTTCAGTGAAATTATTTCTAAGCATCAAAAATTATATATAGAATTATTTGATGAAACACTGAAACCAAAGCAGCATTTGCTACTTCATTATCCATCTGTAATTAAAGAATGTGGTCCAGTTCAGCATAAAGAACGTAAGCAATACGCAAACGTCACTTCATCAAGACGTAATATTTGCTACACGTTATGTTTAAAATCTTCATTACAGTTTTCTTACGATGTTTGTTAAGTTTTTTCAAGTCCTGATTTTTCAGCAACCAAGCTTTCATGTAGATCATATTATGAAAGTCTGTTATATCCTATTCTCTTTGATTCTGAACTTGAAATATTAGTATCGTATACTTGTCGGTTTAAAGGAACTCTTTATAAGGCAGGATCGTTTGTAACAAGGACTAGAGATCATGTCACTGAATTATATGAAATACTGGAAATAATAACGGTTAATCAAAACTTATTTATTGTAGGCCAATTATGGCAATGTGGTCCATTTAACGATCATCTTTTGGCGCATGAAGCTATTCATTGTAGTGGATTGAAACAGATTCACAACTGTAATGATTTTGATGGACCTCCTGTCAGGATTCACTCTGTAAACAACCACTATTATTTTAGAAAAAAAGTATAATTTTTACGAAGAAGACAACGATCTGTAAATACTGAACCGATTTGGTATAAAACATGTAAAGATGATACATTCAATAGTAATGTATATTTTAGCTTAATAAACATGTAAATATATTTTAAACCAAATATTTGTAGCAAATTTCCATAATATTAAATATTGGCACTGTACTATGGTTATTTGAAGTATTAATAAAAAGCATGTGAACTGCATATAGATCAAATTTATTTTGAATGTATTTTGTTTAACGAGCAATATTGATTTATAATGTATAAGCTAATTATTTCAATATACTCTCACCGTTTGTTAAAATGAAATCTATTGCACACAATAATAACATGACTACTTGAGAGTCATATCATATGCATTGCATGTAAATCATAACGAGCATTTTCATTCTAAGATAAATTTCATAAGAAATTCCAATAGTGCAAAATTATATGCCTACCATATAACATTGAATGTGGAAGTTGGCTCAGTGTAATTACTTTATAGTACGTTCAGACTACAGAGTTAACATGTTATAGCGCTATCTTGATGGTGGTTTCTGTGTTGCAATTATTTGACAACCGTTATAACATGTTATAACTCTCCAGTCTGGACAGCGTTTTAAGTACTTTTGATTGCATATTAAATTCAACGCACCGGTTCTTTGTATTGCGTGCCCCTCGGCTAAACTTTAACTGAAATGGTTATGGAAATTTACCAGCACGTTTGTATGATAAAGTTTTAACCTTATGTATTATGTTTTTTTGGAAGTGGACCTTACAAATAATGGGTTGTTAAGAACCATTAGGGGAAACGCTCCTATAGTTGCGGTACGTTAGAAGCGTTAGGTTCCTATAGTTGTGCATGGAGACACAATACACAACTATAGGAACCTAACGCTTCTAACTTACCGCAACTATCGGAGCGTTTACCCTACCATTCAAAATTCTTGTTTTCTCCATACATTTTCGGAAAGAGAACTATATTAGAACCTTTTAACTTAAGGTTTGAGAACTTTAATGGTAATGATTATGGTAGTCAGTAAGGTCCATGAATGGTTTTGTAACATCGATCAACTTTATGTGGAATATATCGCTAATTGGTTACCTGTAAATTAGTTCTCTTTCCGAAAATGTATGGAGAAAACAAGAACTTGGAATGACAATGGTTCTTAACAACCTATTATTTGTAAGTTCCACTTCGAAAAATAACTTAATACATAAGATTAAAACTTTATCACACAAACGTTCATGTAATACCCTGTACAGACTTTGGCTTATATCATGTAATATAGGCTGCTTTGCAATGAGCACTCATACATCAAGTTTTCACTGGAAATCCTATGTAATAGTACGTTCAGACTACAGAGTTATAACATGTTATAGCGCTATCTTGACAACCGTTATCACATGTTATAACTATAGTCGCGACTATAGTTATAACTGCTCAGTCTGGCCAGACTGGAGAGTTATAACATGTTATAACGATTGTCAAATAATTGTAACACAGAGACCACCATCAAGATAGCGCTATAACATGTTATAACTCTGTAGTCTGAACGTACTATTACCTAGGATTTCCAGTGAAAACTTGATGTATGAGTGCTCATTGCAAAACAGCCTATATTACATGATATAAGCCAAAGTCTGTACAGGGTATTCCTTATGTTTCCTATTAATAACTATTATTATAATATGTCGCTGCTGTCTAAACATATAATTAGTGAGACGCGCGTGGTTAAAAAAATAAGGTAGGAGAATCAAAAATGCCATGAACAAACATTGATTGTTTAATAGATTTAAAATAAAAAGTCGTATATATATTTATATATATTTAAATATTAATCCAAATCACAAATTGGAAAAACTTTAACTTTCTTAACCGACCGTTCAGCTGACCTTGCGTTCAAATGTTTTCCAAATATGGTTACATCGATATTATTCCAGTGGATTTGGAACACAGAATCCATCTTCGGGATGGCTACAACAAAAACATAAAAATAATATTCAACATTATTCAACATAAAATCGAAGACAACATAATATCATATATGATGTCTTCGATAAAATCCAACCCCATACTAATGGGGGACTTACTGCGCATTTTGTCGTCTTTTGATACCAATTTGAACGTCCCTTTTGTATCTAGCACCACAATGCCTCTGATCCCCACTAGGCTGGGATTTTTTGCCCTGATCACGCTTATTTTGGCTCCATGAAAATCGGCTTTTAGGATATCTGAACTGTAGAACAATGCATTGTCAATTAAGTGAAAGGGTTCTAATATACATACGCCTACGTTAACTGATTATATTGAGCCTCTGTCACATCAGGGAGCCTCTCCTTTCCCAAGTAACGGCCCATATAGCCGCGCCAAAGTCGGTTCAATGGAACTATCTGTTCATAACGAATCGTATCCACTGGCAGAGCGTAGATTCCCAGCTGAGCAATTTCCTTGCGAGACAGTTTCTTTTTATTTTTCTGTTGTGAACCTTTGCCCACAGGTTTGATCTTTTTTGTTGGTATCAGCTTCTCCGTGGTTCTTCCTTTGGTTTCACAATACCGAGCATGTTCTTCAGGTTTAATAAGACTTTCCAAGACGGCAGACGACTCTGTCAAGACAAATATCCAGATTAAAATATTTTCGGTAATAATGTTTGATTGATAAAGAAAATCTCACCGATTTTCGGCATCGATGCCATATTTTGGAATTATTTGGAAAAATATCTATATTACGTATTCATAAAATTGGCAAGATATAGAAGCTGGATCTGGATTATGAATTCTATTATTATGTATGAGGATTGTTTACATCAAAGTAACTGGTACCCACCATGAGTAAATTTGGTATGGAAAGAAAATGCTCTGAGTCAATTGAATTCAGTCGCTGCGTTGTTCTGATTGGCCGTGCATACATCGAAGATCGCTGAATCATACACGGTAAGCAAAAAGTTACCAAAATTAAGTTCTTTTCACCCATCTCGGCACTATAGTGCAGGAACCCAAAAGTAGGTAAAGCGGGCCAAAATAATTTTCATTTACTTGTGTGTAGTTCGTATGGAATAGAGTCGGTGTATAATGAGTCACGCCAAGAGTGAAGCCAAGTCTACCTATTGAACTGTCAAACCGGCTACCTATCGTGCAAAGTAAACAAACATTACGATCCCGCATAAACGCGAACCATCACATGACCTTACCGATAATGGTTATAAATTGTTTATAATCCCTGCTAAACTTCAACTGAAATGGTTATGGAACTTTACATGAACGTTTGTGTGATAAAGTTTTAACCTTATGTATTATGGTTTTTTGGAAGCGGACCTTACAAATAATGGGTTGTTAAGAACCATTACCATTCCAAATTCTTGTTTTCTCCATACATTATCGGAAAGAGAACTATATTAGAACGTTTTTACTTATGGTTTGAGAACATTAATGGTTATGGTTATGGTAGTCAGTAAGGTCCATTAATGGTTTTGTATTATCGCTCAACTTTACGTGAAATATATCGTGAATTGGTAATCAGTAATTTGCAGGCAACCAATTCGCGATATATTCCACATAAAGTTGATCGATGTTACAAAACCATTCATGGACCTTACTGCTTACCATAACCATTACCATTAATGTTCTCAAACCATAAGTTAAAAGGTTTTAGTATAGTTTTCTTTGCGAAAATGTATGGAGAAAACAAGAATTTTGAATGGTAATGGTTCTTAACAACCCATTATTTGTAAGGTCCACTTCCAAAAAACTATAATACTTAAGGTTAAAACTTTATCATTAAACGTTCATGTAAAGTTCCATAACCATTTCAGTTGAAGTTTAGCAGGGATTATAAACAATTTATAACCATTTTAGGTAAGGTCAATTTATGGTTCTCGCTTATGCGGGATGCTATGAAAGGTCCACGAAAGGTATTGCAATAAAATTTAAAACATAATTGAAGAAATGATCATAAACACGCAGTGAACATTAAATTGTCATGGAATACGTTTGGTAACGATCAGTAATGAGAATTTCTACTATTTTTTTTTAAGATGATTGGACAAAATCACTGATATAATGATTTACAACAGCTGCTATTTTTTTTTTGCTCGCTAGAAGTCATTTGAAGTTGATGTAGCAGTCCTCTGTTGCCAAGTGAAAAGAAAGGGAATCTTTCGAAACCCGTGATGCGAGTTCAACTGTTTTTCTCTTGGCGTGACTCATTATACACCGACTCTAGTATGGAATTTTCCACTGTCTTTTTAACCAAAAGTAAGTTAGTTGTACCCAACAGTAGGTAAATATGATTATACTCAACGTTGGGTTCCCACACTTTACTACCCCTGTTGGGTGGTTTTGCTCCTCCGTTTTTGACGACATTAGAAGGAGAAAAGGAGACAAACTAGTCAAAAGTAGGTAAAAGTGAACTGACCGTTGGGTACTTTTTTCTTACCGTGCATTAAATGAGGAGGGCCACTTTTAGCGGAAATGGGTATTTTTATACCCATTAATGGGTTTTCGTGAAATACCGTGGAGAGAAGTCTACACTCAAAAATATTACAAAACGAATATAGATTAAATTTTATGCATTTTATGGTTTTTCAAAATTTATACATTGGTTCGATTAAAATTTTTGCCAAAATTTTACTAAGTCCGAATAATGGAGTGGAATTCGATCAGTGTTTACTAAAATGACAGGAATAAGAACATCTGGATTCCCTTCGGAGCTTAGTGCTGGTGAAGGGCTTTGTCCCAGCGGATTTCTACTGCGCCTGTAATCTGCTGGGCAGCATCGAAATTGTAAGTATTTTTTTTTAAATATTATTAATAAAAAATAAACTGATGAAAAAAGCTTCCTGAGACATTTTTTTTTCATTTGAAAACAATAATATTTACCATAAATGAAATAAAGAAGCGAAAAATACATTTTCTTGAATAAACCGTATCCACAGAGAACAGACATGGAGGCTCGAACAAAATTTCTCTAATAACTTGTGTAAAGATTCCTATTCGACTTAAGCGCCACTAACGGCGACTTCCCCACCTAAAAACCCTCTTTGACAACATGATGGCGCTGGCGTTGCACAAATTACACCAGACACTAAGTGCTAGTAGCGCCAAGTGGAAATTTTCAACAGAAAATTTATCGATACTAGCGCCAAATTGGTCGAAAGTGGAAAATTTATAGAGAAAATCAGGAGATGCTAACACCACGTAACGGCGACGTTCCCACTTATTTTACACAAGTTTTTGACCGAACTTGAACGTCTGTTCTCTGTGCCTTTGCGTCGGTACGGAGAGTTGCTATTTAGCGTAACTTTTATACTATTTAGATTTCAATATTTTTTGAGTGTATATGTATACGGTAAGAAAAAGTACCCAACCAATTCACTTTTACCTACACTGAAAAAAAAAGTTGTTGAATATTACATCCAAACAGCTGCACAGAGATCATTCCGCGGGTTGTGTAATATTACGTTGTACGATGTACATCGATTTTGCGAACAAAATTACATCCATTGATGTAATATTGTATCTGCTTTTTGCTATTACACCATTGTTTCATACATCAGCTTGAATTACATTGATCGATATTACATTTTTTTTTTGCTGTGTACTTTTGACTAGTTTGTCTCCTTTTCGCCTTCTAATGTTGTCAAAAATGGAGGAGCAAAACCACCCAACAGGGGTAGTAAAGTGTGGGAACTCAACGTTGAGTATAATCATGTTTACCTACTTTTGGGTTCAACTAACTTACTTTTGGGTAGAAAGCGAAGGAAAGCGAGTGGAAAATTTTATACGAATTGCACACAAGTAAATGAAAACTACTTTGGCCCGCTTTACCTACTTTTGGGTTCCTGCACTATTGATGAATCTACGCGAAACTGCACCAGTGCATGCGACACCTAGGTTTGAAGTCCAAAACCACAAAAGTGATGATGTACTAAAAAATATTCCATACGATTTGACACCTAGCAAAACGTCATTATCATTTTCACATCATTTCCATCTGCTGGCCGACCGTAACGTAGATTCATCAATAGTGCCGAGATGAGTGAAAAGAACTTCATTTTGGGTACTTTTTTCTTACCGTGTATACGATGATAATAAATTCGTAAAAATCCGCGAACCACTTCACCTGTTGTCACCACTTCACCTGCTTCCAACTGACTGACGCTGCAGCGCCGACAGCGCACCGCTAGATTTTTTCATCCAAATTTGAGTTAAATCTACTCAACGTCAAGTTCGCTGAAGTAAACAACACGGTGAGTAGTATCAACGCAATTTTGAGTTTTCTGAATCTTGTTAACTTAATTTTATTTATCGGGTTTAATGATGGTGATGACATGTAAGTTATGCAATTTCTTTATAATTTAACCTCGATACAAATAAATAAATGAACTTATGATTATGCACAAATCAAAACAACAATGAATCAGCACAACTGTTGTAAATATATAGTCAATAGTTTTTCGGTATCAGCAAAGTTTTTTTTTACTCAATTTTGAGTTCGCATTCAAGTACCTTATCTTTGGGTAAAAAAAACTCAACAATCAAACCGCTATTTACCTAATCCTCGGGTTCACTGTCATTAAGCCAATTTTAAGTACTTTGAAACTTATTTTTGGGTAGTTTCGTTTCTCCGTGTGTACGCTATTTCAAAACTACCCAAATTTGGGTACAATCCACCCAGATCGGTCAAAACTGAAGCAACCCAAAAATGGGTAAACTGTGTTGTGCACAGCAAAAAAAGTTGTTGAATATTACATCGAAACTGCTGCAACCAGGTCAATCAATCGGTTGTGTAATATCACATTGCACGATGTACATCGATTTTGCGAACAAAATTGCATCCATTGATGTAATATTGTATCTGCTTTTTGCTATTACATCATTATTTCATACATCAGCTTGAATTACGTTAATTGATATTATATTTTTTTTTGCTGTGTGACAAGTTGACAAATGAACAACATTGACATGCATCCAATCGACATTGTTCATTTGTCAACTTGTCACTCCCAACACAGTTTACCAATTTTTGGGTAGGTTCAGTTTTGACCGATCTGGGTGGATTGTAACCAAATTTGGGTAGTTTTGAAATAGGCGAATCCAATGGAAATTAAGCGATCGTTTCTGCCTCTGGTGGTGAATAAGAGAACCATCAAAAGAGTGATGAGGGCTGACATTTTCACCGTGAAGCATAGGAAGAGGCAAAATGATTAATGTTTTTTTTACCTGTTCTGATTAATTTATGTATTGCAAGTGCTTGTAATCATCATTCACATGGAATATTTTGTTTTCTGTATCGATTTTGGAGTGAACCGGCCTGTGCTTTCACATATTTTTGTTAAGAAAAGTGAAGATTTATAAAACTACCCCAGCGGTTATGATCTTCCGGATATTTAATGTGGTGTTATTTGAGCTGTAAATCCGTTCAAATATGTGAAAAATAATAAAACAAGGCCCCTTCCGATGGAAATATGCAAGATACGCATAACAATATGCGTTAATTTGAGATGTAAAAAATGTAATTTGGATCTAAACAAACGGTTTCGTTGACGTTTCCTCTCATAATCGCCTAGCGTACTCTACATTGGTGGTGCATAGAAACAGCCTATAGCGATCTCCAAGCGCAATCTTCCCAACACTAAAATCCAACATCCATATATAAAAATTAATAAAAAGAAGAACCAAAAAGGTATAACTATATACACCATATTTTAGTTTTCATTATCAGTAAAATGGTTTGCTGGATCATGATCAGCAACAAAAAAGCTT